CATAGTTGCGTGGTGTAGATCACGATTTGGCTCATGTAGGGGGGGGTGTGTTTTTAACCAACAGGTCGGGCAGACCCTCGGTCGCGCAATAGGGGGGGGGTGGGGGCGGGCCGGTGGGCAGGTAGGGGAGCAGGGAAGGGAAGGGGGGAGAGGAGGGGAGGGGAGGGGAGGGGGGAGGAAGGGGCAGTATGGGTTGGGGGTACTTGGGAACGTACCATGGTGTAGGCCTGACTGGACTGGTGTCTGCGACGGGTGTTGGTGTTGGTGGCGTGGACTGGGCGGGGTCAGATCGGGGGGAGGGGGGGGGGGGTACCGGGCCATGCCGGGCGATGACTTGAACCGGCGCGGCTGGCGCGTAGTGACTGATGATGGGCGGTGTTTAGAATGACCAAAGCTCGGTAGCTATCGGTACTTGTTGAGGATAGCCTGGATGTTGGGTGGGAGCGAGGAGATGGTCTCGTCCATCGAGGTTGCTGGCAGTGGCACGGGCGCAGGTGCCGGCGCGGGTGACGGCGCGGGTCTGGGTGTGCTGGCTGTGGGAAGAGGACGTGAGGGCGATGACGGCGACAGCGACGAGGCGGTGGCGGATGGACGTGGCGCGGCCGACTGCCGCGGGGCGGGTGTGAGGCCGGGATCATAGCCGCCAGGGCCAAGCACCGGCGCTGCCGAGGCCGCAAGCTCGTGTACAGAGAGCGGGCGATCAGGAGCGGGGCCGATAGGTGAGGCGAGCGGCGAGGCGAGTGGCGAGGGACGTGGCGAGGCACCCGGGCTTTGCCGCGGTGGTGGGCTGCCGCTTGCAGCTCGCAGAGCGTGGTTGTGATCGGCGAGGCTCGCCGAGCGCGCGACCGCAGCGGCGGCCCGATTGTTGGCGCGGGTCAGCGCGAGCTCCAAGCTCGACACCTTGTCGCGAAGAGCAAGCGCGATGCGCTCAACACGGACCACCTCTGCATCGCGCTCCTCCAGCCGCTTGGCGTACCACGCGCGATCGTCGTCCATCCGGGCCAGCCGCGCCCGCAGCCGTCCGTTCTCCTCGGTCGTGGCCTCGGCCTCGTCCTCCAGAACCCGCATCTCGTCGACCATCTCCCGTAGCGTCCCGCGCGTTGCCCGCAGCTCAGCCTCCAGCTCCATCTCGCGCGCCGTTTGCTTGCCACGCCCAGGCTGCTCAGCCCGCTTTGTCTCCACCGGCCGGGTGGCTGGCTTGGGTGGGCTCGTCTGCCTCTCGTCCGAGCCAGGCGCCAGCAGCGGCTCGCCAGTGGTCAGAAGAGCCGGAAACGGATAACCATTCATTCCAAGTCGGGTACCGTACCAGTTGGCGCAAGTGCTCAGTTGCTTGCGGTGGTCGGAGCGGCGACGCCACTGCCTGCGATCGATCACAGCCACGATCGATCACTCTGGGCGGTGATCGATCGCGGGCGCGGGGTGACCGACACAGACAAGGCCGCGGACGGGCACAGTTGTCTGTTGTGCGAGGAACATGGCGTTTCCTATGCAGCGTGAGCTGTACCTGCCGACGGTGCCGACGCTCACGGTCAGCTCTCAGATGCACTCTGGACTGAGCGGGCCGAGCCTTGGGAGCCATGGCCCGAGTGGGCCTATGGCCGCCCGCCTGGCCACGGGCAAGCAGGCTCCGGTCGCTCCCTCGCGCTTCTCCGCCGCCTCCTCCAGCTCTGCCGCTGTCACCGTCGGCTCTGGCCCCAAGACAGCCGCTTTCTCCCCCTATGTCCTCAATGGCGGGTACGTTCTCTCTCTCTCCCTCTCTCTCCCCCCCTCCCCCCCTGCATCCCCCCCCCCCCTACCCCCCCTCCCTGTCGTCAGGTCGCCTTCCGCCGACCGGCCAAAAGTGCGACCGACCTTCTTCGGCCCACGGGCGATTTTTGGGTTGTGGGCCGCCGAGTCGGCTGCCCTTGCTGCGATTGCTAGAAAGGGGAGGGGGGAAGGGGAAGGAAGGCGCCACGACTTACATATGGTGTGTGGTGTGGTTTGTGTGGCTTGGCTGGTGCGGCTTGGCTGGTGCGGCTCGGCTGGTGGGCGGGTGGGTGGGCGGCGGGCGGCGGACAGGACGGCGCTGGCGCTGGCGGGCAAGGACTTCTGCATTGTGGCAGGGGACACGCGCATGTCGGCCGGGTACGAGATCCACACGCGGAACAAGCCCAAGACGTACCGGATCAACGACAAGTGCTCAATTGCCATGGCAGGGATGCAGGCGGATGCCACGAACCTGATCAAGATGCTGCGCTTCCGCATCGCTATGTACGAGCGCAAGATGGGCAAGCCGATGTCGACCCAGTCGCTGGCGCAGCTCGTCTCCACCACCCTCTACCGGCGTCGCTTCTTCCCCATCTACGCCTTTGTCGTCATTGGCGGCCTCGACGAGGACGGCGTCGGCTCGGTCTACGGCTACGACGCTGTCGGCTCGTTTGAGCGCTCCACTTGCTGCGTCCAGGGCTCAGGCACCTCGCTTCTCCAGCCGGTCCTCGACAACCAGTTCGACTTTAAGAACCACTCCATCAAGCCCGACGAGCTCACCCTCGACGAGTCCATCGACCTCGTCAAGGACGTCTTTGTCTCGGCCGGCGAGCGCGACATCTACACCGGCGACTCGGTCGAGATGCACATCATCACCGCCGACGGCGTCCGCGTCGAGACCTTTGATCTCAAGCGCGACTAGAAGCAGCCGCGCGTGGCGGCATGCCCCGTTGCCCGTAAAGTGACGACGGAACCAGTCCGAGCGAGGCGTGTGCGGGTGACAGCGAGAGAGCAAGGCTACGAGTCGGGCTCGATCATGATCATGTCCAGCCTGCCCCGATACACGCCCAGGACGTGCTGCATGATGTAGGTAGAGGCGCCGTAGAGGGTGAAGAGCGCCAGCACAATGGCTGTGTTCACGCCGAGGAACCACGGCATGGGCTCGCGCGAGACCCAGGTGCCGGCCGAGAGGCACCACACCAGCAGCGAGAGCACACCACAGATGGCAATGCCCAGGTTCACGTCCAAGCCCTCCATTCCGGCCAACTCCCTCCAGCCGTCACGCCAAGTGTTGCCCACCACAACCTGTCCCTCGCCCACAACCACCGCTGCAGTCTCACCGGTGCCCGATGACAGCGGCCTGGCTCGGGCCAGGCGGCCACCAGCACGGCATCTCGGCCCAGCCCGACTGCCACGACTCGCCATCGGACAAGCACAAAAGTGGTACTCTCGGTTGCCAGACGAGCGGTCGCTCCGCTGGCTCGAGAGCTTGAGACTTCCTCGCATTTGCTGTGCTGATCATCTTTGCCACCACATCGTGCCGATTGGCACGGCGATCCGCGTGTACGTGAGCGCCGTTCGATGGCTCGCGTACACACGATATCAAGGTAAGAATTGGGCGCCCGGAGGGCGGCCGTCGTCGTCGTCGTCGTCGCGCGTCGTCATCAGAAAGGGCCGGCGGATGGGTTCCCGCTCCGTGGGAGCCGACTGTGTCGACGCCATCGGAGCTGTTAGCATAGTAGGATGTCAGCCACTTCGCATCGCTCAGCCGGCCGCGAGTGTTAGCCACTCGTAGCAGTTGCGGCAACATCGCCCTCTCAGCTACCCTCTCGACTGCTTCTCGATCGCCACTTCGCCTTCATCGCTATCGATTGTCAGCCACGGCCGTGACGACGGCAGCCGTGGGCGGAAGCCAAGGCATGACAGGTCAACTGTGCTCGGTTCGAGTCCAGCTCTGCTTGAGCCCAGCTGTTGGCCTCTGGTGACTTTGCGACATGCCGATGAAGAACGTAGTCACGCCGGGTTGAGCATGCACCCACCGATGGTGAGCCGAGTGGAGGACCGGTAAGAGATTGCGGACGGTGAAAAAGAATTGTCACGTCACCCAAGCCACATGACTGCCGCCTTCCCAGCCTCCACACAGCCCTCATTCGTGCCAACCCAATCTATTGCTCGTCCACACCCTCTCACCCTCTCCCCACACACCCTTTCACCCGGACCGTGTGTCATCTCCGCCCCAGTCACTTGTTACCTTTTCGTTCCACTTGTTGTACTTTTTTCCGCTCCATGTGAAACAGAATTATCATACTGCTGCGAGTCTCAACTACTGCTCTTCCTCCGCGCCACAGGCGGTGGACACTCTTCTCACTCAAAGCCGCGAGACACGGCGTAGTATCAGCTATGAAGTTGCTCTGGAGTGCCACAGTGCTGGTTGTGTGCTTGGTTGCAGGACACGCTGCCGGTACGGCCTCTGAATATGCCTCGACCTGGCCACTCGACTCGCCGCCTTTTCCAACTGTCACTCGCATCTCGCGGGAGCATCCCAACATTCTTGCGCTGCACGGGGCAGCCGGTCGTGTCCTGACGGGCGCGACGCTCGACTACGTGTACAACGGCAACGACTTGCTTGTGCAGACGAACGGCCAGCTTTTTCAGTACATCGTGGCCACGCCTGGCGATCCAGGCGGCGTCGAGCCCGGCATCATCAAGGGCTACCTCGACGACGGCGCTGACTGCACTGGCACCTTTCCCAACCGCAACCTCTCGCGCTGCGATGGGGCGTCACTTGTGCGTGCCGTATGCTCGGCCCGGACACGCTTCTCGGCGAGCTGCTCGACTCAGTCTGGGCCAACACGCCCTCTATCTACGCTGTCTCATCACCCACCGATCCCGACTTTGCCATCCCGCTCGTCCCAGATCTTGTCGCCGCCAAGGCCATGCCGCTGCAGCAAGCCATGATCACCAAGCCGCTACAGTACTACCCGACCAATACTGGCTCGCAGCAGTTCACCGTGTACCTCTACTTTGCGTCAGCGTACCTCAAAGATGGCCACGCCTACAACGTCTCGGTGGCAACGCCGCCATCGTGCACCGGTTGCTTCAACGCAACCACAGGCTCGGTCCTCGACGTTGTGCTGAGCCCGCACACACTCTCGGACGCCATCCACGTCAACATGGTCGGCTTTCTCCCAGAGTCGTCCGCCGCCCGCGCCCTCATCTCGGTCTGGGCCAACACGCCGGTCGACTTTAGCCAGTTCGTGCCGAGCGGCTCCTGGTTTCCGGGCTCGGGCGTGCCGCTGATGGACTTTACCGTTGTTGACGACGCCACCGGTGCCGTCGTCTACGGCCCGGCCAACATCACTCTCGTCCAGGATCCGAGCGCGATCGAGGACTTCCAAGGCGGGCAGCGAGGGCGGACCCAGTCCAAGACGTACATCTTCGAGGCTGCGTTTCCAGGCTTTGTCGGCGCGCCGGCGCCGGCCAAGTTCCGTGTCGTCGTTGCGCACGTCGGCTCCTCGCAGCCGTTCGAGGTGCGGCACGGGGTCTACAACCGTGCTGTCGAGCTCGTCGGATCCGCGCTCTACTACCACCGCTCAGGCGTGCCGCTCGATCCCGCCTACGCAACCTACGCCCGCGGCGCTCCGCAGGTGCCTACACCGGCCAACCCGTACCTCTACTCGCTCCCGATCATGTACACCGGCTCGACTGGGCTCGGCGAGTACGCCGAGGCATTTTCGACCATCACACGCGAGGCGATTCCGGGCTCCGAGTGCCTCGCCAAGGGCGGGTCCATGGACGCCGGTGACTGGGACCGGCGCATTACACACGTAGCGCTCACGCAGGCGCTCTGTGACCTCTTTGATCTCGACGCCGAGTTCTTCGCCGGCATCCAGCTCTCGCAGCCACCGTCGTCGCTCAACCTGCCGCCGCTTCTCGAGGCCGCCTGGCGGAACATCGACATGTACATCGAGTACATGGCGCCCGACGGCGGAGTCATCGGCGGCATCGAGTTTGAGGAGCATCCGGTCATCGGTGAAGTCTCGACAGACACCTCGCTCAAGGTCTACTGCCACTCGCCGGACCCGTGGGCGTCGTACCTGGCGGCATCGGGCGCCGCGCGCCTCGCCCGCGTCTCGGCCCAGTACAACGCCGCCTTTGCCGCCGACCTCGAGGCCAAGGCCGAGCTTGCGTTCTCATACGGAGAAGCGCACCTTCACGATCCGCTCGAGGCCAAGTACATGCCGCTCGGCAACGAGTCGGATCCCAACTGGCCCAACTTTAAGTACTTTCTGCCCAAGGTTCTGCGCGATGCCCGCAACACCGCCGCCGCCGATCTCTTCCGGCTCACCGGCAAGACCGAGTACGAGACCGTCTTTGAGGCGACGTCGGTCTTTACCATCCCCGGCCGCGAGGTCAGCTTCTTCAACAACACCTACTCGGACTACGAGTGGCGGCAAGAGGAGGGCGCGTGGGTTTACGCGTCGACGCCCGGCGCGACCAACATCGCGCTTCAAGCCGAGTGCTCGGCGGCTGTGAGGCGGACGGCCGACGACCTCATCGCCAACATGAACAACCGCGGTCTCGCCATTGCGCGGTCGTACTTTTGGCCGGCAGTCGACCTTGTCACCGTCCGCCAGGAGATTCCTCGTGCGCTGTTTCTCATGCCGAACTCGACCATTTATCGTGATGCCGTCGAGCGCTCGCTTGGCTTTGGCCTCGGCGCCAACCCTCGCAACGAGGCGTTCATCACCGGTATCTGTGGGCCCAAGGAGCGGCTCGGCTACGATCGCGGAAGCTGCGTCGAACAGATTGTTCATGTCGACACCTCGTTCCGCGGCCTCCGCTCGCCGCCGGGTATCCCTGTCCTCGGCCCCCTCGACGGTAACGGCATCTATGGCCCGACCGTAGCCCCAGTCATCGGCTCGCTCTTCTACCCGGCTATGGCCACCTTTCCCCCTGCCGAGTGCTTTGCCGGCTTTCACCTCGGCACCTCGCCGATGACCGAGTACACCATCCACGAGACCTTTGCGCCAATGCTCCTGCAGCTCGGCACGCTCGCGATGCTGGGAAAGGAGCCGTCGCCGCCACCACCGCCCCCATCGCCGTCGCCGCCGCCGCCGCCCGCATCGGCCAGCCCGCCCCCGCCGCCAGGCGCCGCCTCTGCAGGCCAGATCGGCGGCTCATCGCCGAGCTCGAGTGACTCACTCAATCTGGTTGTGGGCGGTGCTGTTGTCGGCGTGGCGGCCGTTGCGTTTATTGCGGTCGTTGCGCTCTTTATCCGCTCACGCCGCAACAAGCGCGCGTCTGCGTCAGGTGGCGCCTCTCACGCGATCTCGCTCGCCGACATGTAACAACAGATAAACCTGGACGGTACTTCAAGTGAACAACTCGATGATGCTTGACTTCTCGGTTGGGAGGCGCGCCCGCACGTGATGGCGGCCGACACGTAGACGCCCGCCTGAAGGATGCCCGAGATGACGTCGCAGTGACGGACGCCTGGGAGCATTGGCGAGGCGCGCAAGGTGCCGTACGGCGCCGATCCGGAAGCGGCTGCGGGCGCGGACGGTGCGGACGGTGCGGAGCTTGTCGTTGACGACCCCGACGACCGGGAAGGAGAGCATGACAGAGTTGAACACAGCGGCCAGACGGGAGTGCGCGAGGACGTTGTGGATCTTCTTGCGACGGACGAGCTTGCCGGTCGGCGTAGCCGCGCAAGTGGCGGCGCGCCATCCTGTACTGGATTCTGGACGCCGCGTACGCGCTCTACGCTGATGCGAGCCCATGCCCCGCCATGACTCGCGTGGCATTTCCCTACGACATCATCGACGCCCTCGCCGCCAGCACCAACGCCGTCAGCTCCGCGCCGTCGCACAAGCGGAAGCGTCCCTCTGCAGCCGTTGCTCGTCATCACCACTTTCCCCAGCGAGCCGCCGCGCGACGCGACTGCCTCGCCTGCCGGAAGCTTCATGGTGAGCGATCGCGGCCGCGGATCTTTTGTGCCGCGCGTGTGGCGTCCATCTCTGCATCGCCGACTGTTTTCTGTTGTGGTCCACCAGTGGCCACAGCAGCCATTAACACATTGTACCACTCTGACACCGCGATCGATGGACGTTGCGCGATGGACAAATTCGTCCATTCCGTACCGTAAAGGGATAAACGAAGACTAGCAGCTTGCCGCGCTCTCGTCGGCGGACTCGTACTCGTACTCATACTCGTACTCGTACTCGTAATCATAGTCGGCAGACGCTGACGATGATGACGACGACGACGACGATGACGACGACGACGTTGCGTCGTTAATCTCTTCGGCGATGGCAGCCAACGCGCCCGAGATGACAGGCTTGGTAGCGGCCATACCTGCCAGGTCTGAGGCAAGGTGAGGGACGACAGTGCGCAAGCGCTTGCGATTGGCGAGCGCGGTGCGGAGCTTGAGGACGGCCGATGCGCGGTGCTTGAGATTGGCAAGGAACGACGACCATGCAACCTTGCGTTGCTCGCGCTCAACAGCCGCAACCTCGACGGCGGCCTTGGCGCGGCAGAGGGCATCCAGTTCGAGGAGGACCTGCATGCGAACGACCGCAATTTGGTGGTCCTTTTCGGCGTCGGCGCGCGCACGGGCGCGGCGGCGAGCAGCCTCGGCCTCGACAGCGGCACGCTGGCGGGCGCGCTCTTCAGCAGCCTCGACAAAGCGGGCCTGCCGCTCGCGGATGCGGGCGGCGGCGGCTTCGCGCAGCTGACGCATGGCGGCATCGGCGGCGGCTTCCTGGGCCTGATGCTTGCGCCTTGTCTCACGCGCCTGCTTCAAGACTCGATGGGACTCGCGAGCCTCGTCCGAGGTGGTGTACAGCTCGAGCATGTCTGTCAGCGTTCCAGTGCGGTTAAGATTGCGACCGGAAGGGCCAGGGCCGATACTCACGATGTGGGTCGACGACTTGAGCATAGGCAGCGAAGATGAGGAGGAGGAGGAGGAGGAGGATGACGACGGTGAGTGTGGCGCTCGGACTCGGCGAGTCTTGGTTCCAGTCCGAACTCGCCGGGCGCGACGGGCGGAGAGACGCGGGCCCGAGTCTGCAGCGCGGGCGCGAAGCCTTGCTTCGGCGTCAGCTGACGACGAGGCCAAGCCATCCGAGGCGAGACGGCGGTGGCGGCGATTGGGTACGCCTGGCGACGGCGGGCATTCCGAGGAAGCAAGTGGCTCTTCGGCCGGAGCCAGCCGCGGCTTGGCGGTCCGTGTGGCCAGCCGCGCAGCTTTGGCCGCCATCCGCCGGCGGTGACGCATGGCGAGACGCGCAAACGGATCGGCGCGCAGTGCTTCGCGGAGCTTTTCCTCTGCAGCAGCGTCGTCAGCTGCTTTTCGCGTGGCAGCTGCCTGGGCCATGACAGCAGCGCGCGCAGCGAGAGCGGCCTGGCGGGCGACCTCATCCGCGCCGGACAGGATTGAGTGCTTGCGGCGCTCGTAGGCAGCTCTTCGCTCCCGAATGAGGCGGGCCTTGTCAGCAGGCGTCATCGCCGCCGTCGGCATGGAAGCCGCTGGCGGTGGTGTCTTGGCCGGCGGCGGCGGCAGTGACGATGACGACGACGATGAGAGCGACCGCACAATCAGTAGCGGATGTGGTGGCGAGGATGACGATGACGACGAAGTCGAAAGCGACCGGTAGCGGCGGCCGGCAACGCCCCGACGCCGCGGCTGGTGGTGCGGCTGACGCGCAGTTGGCGGCTGCGGAGTTCGGGAAGGTGGCAGCTCTGGCTGCGGACCAAGCAGTTCGTGGGCGTTCTTCTTGCTCCGCTTCCGAGACGTGCGGCTCTGTGACTTGAGCTTGGGCTTGGGCCTCGGCTTGGGCTTGGGCTTGTTCCTCTTCCGCCGCCTCCTTCCCGTCGTCCGTACTGGTCTTCTCCTCGCAGGCTCTGCTCTTGTAGCACGGAGTTTTGCCGTCCTTGGGCCCACAGCAGTACAGTCTGCTGCGGACGGTGGATGTGGGTGATGGCAGGGCGGATGCGGACGATGACGGGGCGGATGCGGGCGGCGATGATGATCTGCAGCAGCAATCGAAGAAGGGGTGGTTGAGACAGTGGCAGCGGCGGAAGCGGAAGCGGAAGCGGAAGCGGAAGCGGCAGCGGACGCGGAAGCGGCAGCGAGAGCGGAAGCGGTGACGGCAGCGACCGAGGCAGACGCGGCCATATGACGATCCAGTTGGTCCAGAGCACGTTCAAGGTACTCATCGGCGCGGATGTGCTTCAGCGAGAGCAGGGCGAGCATCCATGGATCCTGTGTAGAGGGCGGGATGTGGCGATGTGGCCATGATCCTGGTCATGATCATGGTGGTGGTCATGGTCATGGCCATGGAGGTGGTGGTGGTGGTGGTCATGGTCATGGCCATGGTGGCGGTGGGGGGAACAAGGGCCGGTGCTGAGGACCAGACGTGGTGTAGGGGCTGGCCAGAGACCCTCAGATCCGACGAGGGTATTAATCGGGGTAGGCCTGTGCATGGCCCACCCACTGTGG